CTATACATTAAGAGCAATTTCATCCTTCAACTATTATTTAACATCAATTTGGTCATTCATCTAATTTTTTAAAGTCAATTTCATTCTTCGACTTTTGGAAAAGTTCAGTTTTATAATACAACTATTATGTAAAAGCAATTCAGTCATCCAACTATGGTTTAAGTGCAATTTTGTCCTTAAACTATCTCGAAACTTCAATTTGGTTGTCCAATTATGACTTAATAGCATTTTCATACTTCAACCATTTTTTAATTTCAATTTGGTCATCATTCTATTATTAAAATCTAATTTCACCATTCATAAAAACTTCGATTTATTCATCCATCTATACTTTAATAGCAATTGGGTCATCCAACTATAGATTTAAAAGTTAAACAATAGTTGGATTAAACTATTGTTTAACTTCAAATTATCCTCCAAGTTTTTCAAAAGTTCAATTGGATCATCCATCTAATATTTGGAAGCGATTTCATCCTTCAACTTTTTCAAAAGTTCAATTTAGTCATCCAACTTTAATTTAATAGCAATTTCCTTCTTCTACTATTTATTAACTTCAATTCGGTTTCCAACTATTTTTTAAAAGCAATTTCATCCTTAAATTTTCACACCTCCAAACATACATGATAAAAAGTAAAATACACATTTAGACACTAAAGTTCTAAGACAGAATTTCAACCTAGTCACTAAAATTAATGAACAATCCTTGGAGCAGACGTATGGATGCAAACTGTGTATTGGGCAATGTACTACAAGAGTGGAGTGGAGTAGAGGTAAATTAATTTTTACTTAGTTTGTTGATAATATTTCTTTTTCAATTTGATTTGCTGAGGTTGTAACGTGACTTGCACTTCTAATTTGAAAGACGTTGCGTGGTAGTCTATGTAACCGTTGGGTGCACTCATCTATAGTCAAATAATCTTCTTTCACTTGGCAATTATCAAAAAATTAAATTTTGCCTTTTTTTTTCCTATGGGAAAATGCATATAAGAGTAAGGAATTAAACATATTTTTGTTTTTACTTTTCTATTTTTCAGATAAGAAGTGAATGGATTTAATTAGCTATTTGTAGATTTTCATGCAAAGATGTAAATGCTGAAATTTACTAATGTCCAATTGACAATGTTGTTGCTCTTGTAAGCTAACATTTGCTGTTAAATTCAATGTTTCGCATGTTCCGCTCCTCTTGACATTCCATGATATCTACAACCACCATTCCGTAATATCCACAGCTTATAAGCACTCAGTCTGTATCTTAAATTTCATGTACAGTGTGTAAACTAAGGTGTTATTATACAGTGGTAGACGCAAACATTTTAATTTAGGGGCAAAACCCAACTTGCAAAAACGTTATTACCAATTTGTCAACCACAATGTTGAAGTCGATTGTTAGTTAGGTCCTTGCTGCTATATAAAATCAAATTGCTCATTCAAAAATTATTTATCACTACAACTTCAAGAGCAAAAATTGCAGTCCAATCTTGTAACGATCGGAAAAATTTTGCTGTCATATCCCATGTAAAATTCCATGTAAAATTTTCTAATAAAATGATGTGAATTATATTAAGAATTTGTCGCGCAAAAATTGTAAACGTTAATAAAATAATAGATTTTTTTTTTAATTCTTCTTAAACAAGGCATTGCACTGTACTAATCTTATCGGTCAAACCAAAGTATGGACAGTATTCTTCTTATATAAAATAGACACGAATTAAAAATTCGAACAAAATTTTATTTCAGCAAAATAAAAGGAATGTAATTTTTCAAGCGATAAGAGAATTAGAAATTAATAATAATTAGAAACGTCGCATCTCTTAACATAAACCACACATTTTCACATTAGACGATGCAGTTCACACCTTTTCATTGAAATGATGCATCAACGTAACTTTCAAACGTCTTACTACTATTTTAATTTTAAAATAAGAGTAATTACTGAACCACATACCACTAATGTCTCATCGGACACGACTCAAGAATTTTCTTAAATAACTCATAGTACTACTCGAACTCGATTAAACGATTCCAAATATGAGTTAGGTCATGCGAATGTACGTCAACTCAATCCATTTTTTACAAGCAACCAAAATTTCCTACCAATGCTTAATCTTTACTATTCTTGCCTAATTTGAGGCTTAGAATTGTCTATACAAAGTTAACTCATGATAATTTTACATCAAGTACATTTTAGACTAAAACCTATACCCATAATTACCTAAAAGAAATGCAAAATTCAAAAATATCTTCTTCACTCTCCAATGTTTTGAGTTGCAAGTGCTAAATTTGGACTTTGTAAAATACTGAAATCATTGCTGATTGGACTGAAGGTGGGACCATGTGAAACCCCATTGGCATTTATAATGGACTAAGTAGGCTTATATCATCCAAGTATACATCAAAACAGTACAAATTATTTAAAGTTTACTTTAGATTAAATTACTTTATTATTGAGCCAAACAAAATTAAATCAAGTTTACACTAACATGATGTCCTGAACAAATGAAAAAAGGGTAAATTCTAC